CTAATATTTACTTATTTATAACATTTAGACTTTATTATTTTTATGGAGTGATATAATGAAAAAAAAAATGGCACTCAGTGGGTTTACAACCACTGATCCTGAAGATACTTTTTTCTGTCTGAATGAAAAAAAAATGCTTCTCTTAACTGTTTATAGCCACACAATCTGTTTTCCACTAGTCACTATATTTTTTACATGCTGCTAAATTTGATTTGTGTTTATGTTTCAGTCCAGAAAACCTACTAAAAATATTCCCTTAAAAACAAATAAGTAATTTGACATACATAAAGAAAAAGGTAAAGACAGTACAATGTAGAATATCCAGGGAGAGTGTCCACTGTGCAGATCCAGATATTTCTGGCTGTTCAATTCACCAACAAGTGTTTATGGTGAGCAGCTCAATATTCATAGTTCAGAGCAGTAAATGTCTGCACTGACTGAACAAGCGCTGTTTCAAATAACAGTCAAGGATCCTCACATGTCATAAATCATGCTAAATATTTCCCTTAGATAGTATTTATCCAAAAAGGCATATTTCAGGGAGGATTTTGAATTCCATGCGACCATGCCAAAATCCAAATATTTACATACAGTGATGGGGTGTGTATGTCTAGGTTTAAAGACGTGTGCGGACCATGATCTGTCTAATGGAAAGGGCAAATCTGTGTCTGAACTCTGCTCTAACCTTGTGCCTCCCTTTTGATTCTTCCTTCTTGCTTTCTTCTTCCTGTCTGACATGACCCGAGGGTCTGGCTGTGTCGTTGCTCACTTACTGCTCATTTGAACACACAATAACACACCCACACCAAGTGGAAAAAAAAAATGAGAAAGGGAAGGAGAGACCGGGGGCATTACCTTTAAAGTGTGCTGGTGACGTCCAATTCCTTTTTAAGCGTGACATCTGAGTCACGGTCCACTAAGTCAACTAACCTATAATTACGTGCGCAAATATGTGGAAAAATGCTAGGTAAAACCTATCAGGCTGATCATCTGGTCCCTTCGGCAGGCAGACGGCAGTCCCACTGTTACTCTAATGACTTAATAGACTTCTTAATGACCAAATAGCTCTCTGCCATCCAGAAGCATTTAGAGAATTATATCCTGGACAGAACTCTGTAGGAGAGCTGGAGCATGTTACATCGGCACTGTACACAGTAGACAAAACAAACGTCAACAGATCTTCAGCTTGATTCAAATTTTGGGAGAACAGTAATGCATTTCTTGAACACACGTCTGGAAAAGTCAGCAGGCAGGAGCTTATTGAAAAATACAAAATGGGTACACAAAGGCCTGGGTAGAAGTCAATCAGCAAATGTTTTTCCTGAATGGAAAAAAAAAAAACATTGGCTCTCTTCCACTTTAACAAACATAGAAGAAATGACTGGAAAGTACTAATGCTAAAAGTTAATTGCATATCCAGACGTTTTTTTCTTTTCTCCTTCAAAAAAATTTTATCAAACTGTTTTTCAAAATCATACTCGGTCAAACCAAGACGCCTGTAAAACATGTGCGTCCCTATAAACTTTCAGTCCTGTCTCCATTCCCCCGACTCCAACTGAGGCCATGTCCCCCTTTCACTCAGACTACCTGAAATCTAAAGTAATGACTCCACCATGTTTTCAGTACACTGGGAAGAAAAGTTTTTTGGGTGGCATTTAATTTACTAAATTCGGTCAAATAAAGAAATAAAATATATGATATTGATTAAATATCTACCACCATTGATAAGCCCTTCTAATCTAAAAATATGTTTTAGTTTTACACCAAAACACTGAACAACAGATCATTTAAATTTAATTATAAGGAATTTAATGTTTAACTGAGTATTTTTCATTAAGCCATGACTTTTTAACAGAACAATTTCGCTATCTGGTTGAAAACATAGTCCCTTTTTAAATCCCACGGGGATAGCCACTATTCAATGGCATAACAAATGTAGCTGACATCTCAGAATCTTCAGGTGACAGCTAGATATGTAGGCTACATGTTCCCTGCGGGTCCATCATGATAAATAATTGCTAATAAAAACAAATAAGCCATGTTTTACTGAAAAAAAAACCCTTTCATTTATTATGGACAGTAAAACTTATGCCAATTCCTTTGAGGTGAGATCTAAAGAGTATAATACAAGTTTTTATCATGTCTTGCCTCCGACACTGCAAAGCGTTTTATGCTAGGTTCAGTAAAGACTTCAATATACTCTGGTGTTCTGTGTGTATTACCGATTGCATACATGTCTCCTGACAAATTCCTTAATTTCCCTCAATCCCAATGGGTACTTGCGGGTTTGATGATCTAGATGGACGCCTAGCTGTGTTTCTTCTCTGCCAGTGAAGCCACTGCACAACTGTTAGTGCAACACAAAGTGGCAGTCTTGCTGATATGCATCCCTTCCACTGGTTGCCCTGACTCAACCTTTTCAGCTCGGTGTCACATACAGTTCGATGTGAACACCGTTTCCCGCCGAGCAGTTACCTTGCGACACCAAGAACACGGTCGTCCAAATTATCTGTACGCGAACGTCTGCCTCGAGTCTGCATTGAATGCGCCTCAAGTGTGTGCAGCGGTTGTGCGTATGCAGGGGCATTAAGACCACCTTTATGAGTCTATAGCTCAGGGGTATTCAGCTCCTGCCCTCTAGGGTCAGTGTCCTGCAACTTTTAGGATGTGTCTCTGCTTCAACGTCAAAATGATCAGATTATTAGCGGGACTCTGGAGAATGTGACTGCGTGCTAAGAAGGTAATTCAACCATTTGGACAAAGTCTGTTGGACCAGGAACATCTCTAAAAGTTGTAGGACACAAAGCTTGAGGACTAGAGTGGGAGACCCCTCCTCTAGTTTGATATGATTTCTTCTACCTGTGTCCTTTTAACTGGAACACTCACACATAAGCATATCTGTCCAGAGACATTGCGCTTTTTCAGGTCCTAAACTTCGGCACCAGTTAAAATATTAGACAGGCACTTTCACTGTATATTTTAGCAGCCTGTGTTCAAGTGGCCTTCAGCACAGTGTGTTTATTCCACGTTAGTTTTTTTTTTCTCCTTTGTGACACCCTTTATGTCTATTTTGTGTTAGTTTTATGTCTTGTACATATTTTATCATCGTTAAGCACTTAATTGTTTTGGACTTTCTTTTTTACGTAGGTTGTAGATATAAATTGGACTTGGACTTTGACTAATTTGTTGGTTATGTTCCGACATTTCTTCTCCCCAGTGTGAGCCGAGTGCTGCTGAGACTGGGAGTTAAGCATGGCAGACTAAAGTACTCTTTCATTCCTCTTTTCTTCGCCCACAGAGAAAACAAATGTTCCTACCTGCTTAAATTGTAACAACCTCACATCTCTCATCATTTTTATACACAATTCTTCCCTTCAATGAGAAACAGAGCTGCCAAGCACACCTACACAGTAGTCGGTTTCTATGTAATTATTGTGTCAACCTTAGGGAAAAGGAGGAAATTGCAATAAAGTGTGGTTGAATTGTTTTGTTGTTGGCTGGTGGTCTTGTTTATGTTCTTCCCCCCCCCCAGTTACAGTATTTGCTCAAAAAAAGAGAGACGGCTAGACATTAGACAGAGCAGGAGGTTATTTTTTGTGCCAAGGACAGGTAGTTTTAAAGATGGGTTGGTCTGACCTGGGTTTGGCTGGGGCCAGAGGCTGATTGATCACAGACAAGAATGTGACTGACTGATTTCCTCAGAGACTTACATGGCCCCTCTGGCATGTTGTCTTTTGGGACATTCCCAAAAGACAAGGATCATCTTTTGTTTGAGGCCAGGAGTGTAGAGAATTAAGGATACATGTCTTCTCTCCAAAAAAAAATTCAGGAAACGGCATCAGACTCGATGCAAAATTTTGTTTTAGTTCGTTATAGTAGCCTTTTTGATTTCTGACTGATTTCTGACTGATATCTACTAAATAGATAAATAACCCATTCTATTTATGTAGCATTTCCTCACCTTTCTTGACTCCACCATATTTTCAGTACACTGGAAAGTGAGCTTCTGATAAGGCTCACCAATCTCAAGAAAATTCACACATTTTGACCCCAATCCTTTTTTAGTCCATCGTCCGACTTCGTAGCTCTACCTTTACATACATACCACAAGACCCTGGTGTTTCCTTTTCTTCCTATAATGTAGGAAAAATATATCTCATTTATTTATTTACAATGACAGCTTATAGACAGATGCCATTTAAAGGGTCCTTTGCATGTCATGCTATTCTAATTTATGGTACATTCACTGATTTAAAGGAAAAAAAAAAGATTTTTGAAAATCTGACTTCTTTGTTCAGGGCTGATCAAGCAGGAAATGATTTGTCTTTATCTGTTTATCTAATATAAAATTTGATGCTCCGCTAGCTACACGTAGTATCCTGCACTGTTGCATTCCATAGAAAAATAACACTTTTGAATCACCTTGCTTCAAACTGTACACTGTAGCATTCACAATTTCATTCCCAGCATGTCACAGATTTTTAGGACATAAAAAATTCCATCTCATGATTGCCGGAGCTTTCCCACGTTACACACATACTGCATGTTCCTCACTCCTGCAGAAATGATGCAACTGTGACTGACACATCACTGCAATGATCCAATAAGACAATATCCTAATCTCATACCACACCATGCAGATGATTTATTCACCTGTGGGGTTGTGGGATTGAGAAAGTGAAACATCAGCAAACTAATTAAGTTTGCCAATAAGTGTGTGGTCATTTCGGGACATTCAGAGACTATCTATCAGTAAATCCTTCTTATGAACAAAAAATAAATAAATAAACAAAACAAGATGGTGACATCACAGAAAAGTTGCATATCCAGACACAACACATAAGAAAACTACATGAACTTTTGAATGTAAGACTATTGAAAGGAGTTAAACAAGTTGTTCCACAAAATCTCCTTCATTAGAAATAAACATGCTAAAACGACTTTGAGAGCATGATGAACTTTGTCGTTGTGACCTATCCTGATGATTTCTTGGCTTGAAGAGCTACATTACCAGTTGTGCATGAATGAGTGTAGCTCACATTTTTGAGGATTTTGACCTGTTAGGGCTGTTTTTAGGTCAGGAATGTAAAATTTACTTACTCATCTTGATGCCATATAAATCAAGACTTCTTGTTTGTACACAACCTGTATTGTTTAATGTTATAACATATCTGTTGACCGTGCTGGGTAATTTGGAGATCACATAAATACACAGTAAGCAGGATTGTCACTAAATGTTCCTTAACCTGTTCTAAAAGGTTTTTTTTTCTGCCTGAATTTAATTTGTATTTATTTATGTTATTAGTTTTATTTTAGTACAATACCAGAAATTATTTATAATTTTTGTCTGTCTTATGTCATTTTTAAATGTAAAATCAGATGTTATAATCTGTAATTAAGTACAGTTTTACCACATAATTTTTGGTCCTCTTTACTTTTAGTTGAGAAAAATATGTTGAAGTAGTGGGATTTTTACTTGAGTAAAATTTTTAGTAATCTATGTAACAGAAATTAAAAAGTTTCATTAGGTTTAAGTTGAAGAATCAAGCAATTTTCATAATCACTTTGTGTTTTGTTAGGGTTACACTGTGTTCATCGAAAACAGGAAGCAACTGTTTGTAAATGTTAAAGTCCAGTGTTTGGTTGACCCATGAACCCACCCTGAACTCCCTCTTTGTTGACTGTGTAAGTCAATATAATTGCCAGTTTTAGCACTTCCTCTGTTCGCTGTCGCAAAAAAAAAAAAAAAAAAAAATCATGGGCAAGTTAAAAGGATTTATAACAATAAAAAACAGCCTAAAAATCAATTAGTCATTAATTTTGGAATGTTTATTTCTGCGTGTTTTGAAAAGAACATTAGGTTGATTGTTGGAAACACTTTGCACTCTTGTGAACAAACAATAGAGCTCCACTTGACATTTAACTATACAGGGATCATTATGAGTCAGAGTAAGTGAGCATAGAAACAGGATCGTCAGCACGCCATGGTATGCAACTTTCCATGTTGTATGCTTGGTCCGTGATTAACTCAGTTTCCTGGTCTGTCTGTGATTGTAGCCACACATGCACCGCGGTCCAACAATCCAAAATAGAGAACCGCATGTATGTTGTGCGTTGTGAGCTCCAGGCTTTTTTAGGATTAAATAGCATTAGCTAAAACCTCCCGCTGAACCTGCTTTTAATGTGACCTGTGCTTCTCTTCAGCCCCCCTCCGTCCATTTCTCATTACATACAACCCAGTGGAGCACTTTGTCTTTCCTCACACTCTGCTCCCGTACCTCTTCCCTGTCTACACCCCACCACAGAAATGGTGGTGGGACATAGACTAAAATGAAACTATAAGATCAAACTTGTTTCTGTTCTTATAAAAGTATTATCTCGTACATTTTGTCGTACTGCAAGTACAAACTTCAGTGACGTTTATTGGGGTTTTATATGACAAATGCAAAGCAGAGCATATTTGTGAAGCATAAAGAAAATAATACATTGTTTTTATTATTTTACTTATACAAATAAGTGTCATAAAATATGGCTTGGATTAGTTTTCAATCTTTTATCTCATGTATCTAAATAAAACACAGTGCAACAAATTGCCTTCTGAATTTAGTGAATTAGCAAAAAAAAATAAATAAATAAATTAAAGCTACTTGAAAGAAAGTAATTTTTGATTTGGCAAAAAAAAACAAAACAAAAAAAAACATGTAGGAACTTGTGAATGAAGGTGAATGAATGAGACCTTTTGTCTACATTCAAAATGCTTTGTATTTTGTAAATTATGTATGGCGAATACATACTTTACACTGCTCCGCTGCATGTTTCTTCTGCTTAGGTCCGTTATCCGCTCTGCTTTGCTGTGAACTGCAAGAAGCATGCGTGGGGAGTAGTTATCAACTTCCAAAATTAGTCATTTTCCCTTCACTGCTCTCTCAATTCACCTCGCTCTTTCTGTGACTTGAGAGAGAAACTTGACTTAATTGGTGTCAGTATTACAGCAACACATTTTGTGTGATTTCATAGCCATAACTACATGCAGACAGCATATTTGTATAAATATACACACATTTTCATTGAGATATTTTGAGCAAATATAGCTTGTCTTGGTGAAATATTTTGAAAATGTCGATGTTGTGCTCATGCAGTTTCCTGCTGGAGTGGTGAGATGCTCTACGGTTGCAGTGGCACCCGGCAAAAATTGGATTGGTATTAATTTTGGCTTAAGGCTTTGTGGAAGTGTGGCGCAGTGTAAATGCTCTCATTGACTATAATGGGTACATATTTACTGGGGGTGCATTATAAATCCACATTTATCTGAGGTTTCATTATGCCTAAGGTTATACACGGAGATGGTGGTGTCATGCTGTGGGAAAGCCTTTCTCGAGTAGTTACAGAAGTGGGTCAGTGTTTATAAGAAGATGAATGGAGCTAAATACAAGGTAATCCTGAAAAAAAAATCATATTAAAGGCTTCAAAAGACTTCAGGAAAGAGGAGAGGTTCAGCTTCTAAAAGGACATCAATCTTAAAGTACAACCACATATGGAATAGTTTAGATTAAAGTATGCAGTACATCCAGAAAGCATTCACAACCCTTCAGTTTTTTTTTTTTTTACATTTTCTTATGTTACAGCTTCATTTCAAATTTTGTTAAGTTAACCTTTTCTCTCAAAATTCTACACACACATTTTCCATCACGACAGTGTGGATCTCTTTTAGATGTTTGAAAACTTATTAAAAATAGAAAATCAAGAAATCGTATTTGCAGCCTTTGGCATGAATCTCAAAACTGAATTGTTTCCATTGAGCACCTGGATTCCATGACTCATGTTTGGAAGAAATGAGGCCCAGCTCATTACCAGGCCAATACCATCCATACAGTGAAGCATGGTGGTGACAGCATCATGCTAGAGGGACGTCTTACAGCCACAGTAACTGGCAGGGTAGTCAGGATAGAGGGAAAAAAAGACCAATGTGCAGAGATGTCCTGGATGAAAACCTGCTCCACAGCACTCTTGACCACAGACTGGGACATATTTTTCAGTTTTTAATACAGTTGCAAAAATTACCAAAAACTTTCCCACATTGTTGCAATGGTGTACTTTTATGAATAATTTTGAGGAACTTAAAATTCTTTACACAAATTAATTTAATCCAATTTGGAATAAGGATGTAGCATAAAATGTGGAAAAAATTAAAGACTTGAATACTTTTCAGATGCAGACCTAACTTTGAATTGCTGCTTTCATTTTGACCTACCTTAAGCTATTTTGCACAGATGGATTGGAAAACACTTCAGTTTCTAGACGTGCTACACTGGAATATACATTCCCCAAATGTCTTGTAATTGCAATTGCATACGTTGGGATTGTTGAAGTAGTGGAGGCAAACTTTTGATATTTTCTCCAATACTTTTGAACTTATAAAGAGTTCTTTTACCTTTTCTCCCCAAAGAAGTAAAAAAAAAAGAGGACTTCAAACAAAGCTCCGCTCATAAACTTTACTGCAGAACACATAAATCTTCTTGTGTTATCTGCATTATAAGCAGGTTTAGTGACTCCCTTTGCACACCTCTCCTTTAAAGAAAACTTCTTAACTGAAGCCGGAGTGTTGAGGGTCAGTGGGTCAATAGATAAATGAGAAAAGTGACCCACAATCAGACAGACAGGCAGCCAAGGCGCAGGTAGGTCGATGGGGGGAAAAAGGCAGGCAGAGAAGCTGAAGGAAGGCTCCAGTACTATTAACAAACTGTCTAATGTTATCGTATCGGTACAAACAACATTTTTGCATGGATAGATTACATCAGAGATAAAAGAAAGTGTAAACACAGAACTTTACGAGTTAAGCTGAACTTCATGTGAAAAATGCCAGGCTTCAGCCAGACATTCATCCTCCCTTACAAACTTGTTCTGAGTTAAAACTGTTTTCGTAAAGTGTAGCCAGGTTGTCAACCGTAACACATAACAGAAGTATGAAGTTTGGGATGATTGTAGCGAGCAAGCAGAAACCTAAAGGAACTAAAAATTAAAATAAATGAATCCCAATAAGTAGTTTGGAACCTGTCTAACTATAATGTTGCCTACATTTTCCCTACAGATGCTTAATTCCTAATCCATATATTTCTTTTAAGATGGTGTTTCTTTTCTATGGATTAGTGGCCTCTGTTTCACCTTCCAAACTAGAGTTTGAAGAGCTTAGTTTGCCTGTAGAGGGAGACGGTTTTGCACTTGCCCTCTGGGTGACCCCACTCCTTTGGCTGAGGCCCAGTATGTTCAACCCCTCCCTGCTCTGCAGTTGAACATGACATTTTAGTCCTTCCTAATAAAACAGACCTACGTCAATAAGTCATTGCCTATTTGGCTTTAATGAGATAAGAGGCTTAGTGAACACCTCAGAGGAGGATTATAGCCAAATATTTTTTAAAGTGGGTATACAGCACCATGACAATAGTGAAAGTAACATATTTCCTGCTGCCTGAAACTCCCTGTGTTTGCTTTAATGTCCATCTACTGCCAGTGTTTAGAAAGTAAGGACATTTTGAAACCAAGACTAAGGAACATGGGTAAGAAGCAAGGGAAGCACAACCAAATGAAAAAAACAAACAAAAAAATCAACAACAAAAAAAAAAACAATAGTGTATTTTCCAGACAGTCATTCCAGAGTGTAAGTCGCATATCTCAAAAAATGTGTCATGACAAAAACACATATGTCACACTGAATTATCAGTTGAATTAGTTTAGAAATTGCACCCCATCACTGTTGACAATGTAATCTGATGAAACTTTATGTTCAGTTACCTGCTTTTCAAAAAAACTCATGGAAACTGTTGTCTTGGACTTGGAGGTCTGTTTGCGACTCTGCTCCACTGGTGAAGTGGGCTGTGCAGCGGAGACGCATGCAGTATAAATCCGTGGTGATAGAGAGGTGGTCGCATTGCTCCTTGGTAACTCCTTGGGTCATGTCTGTCAGTATGAATTAACATTTAGCACATCAGTCAAAAAAACAAACAAAAAACATAGAAAAACAGGAAAAAGTTGTACCAACCAAACTATGAAAAAAATTCTGGAAAATATGGTAGCTTAATTTGGTGAAACTGGTGAGCCAAATCAACAATTTTACCAGAAAACTTTCATTCCCCCTTCTCAACAGTTTTCTGTGTGCTGAAATAAAGAAGGACAACAAAAACGGAGAGGCTGCTGTGAAGGTTTCCCCTTCTTTTCTTGTCCTGATTTTTCCCCCATCTCTAATCATGCTCAATTTAACTTGTCATTCACCAGAGCAATTTTTCTAGCACAATTCCTCCACTTTTCCCAAGGCATACATTCTCTTGGCATCCACTGGAACTGTTTAAATATAATATTAACCACATGGTAGAGTGTACAGAACGTAAAAAAAAAAAAAAAAGAAGAAAGAATTTACTTTGTGAGTCATAGTAATGCTGAGGTCCTCAGGAGGACATAGGAGTGCTGTAGTTAAGGGACATCCTAAAAGATGAGGAGCTGTAACTACACCCGCAAACTGTGTGGGATACGTGAAGGAGCCAGGAGCAGAGGCATCATGGGAGGTGGAGATAGGTTCAGGGAAAGGAAAACCAGGGTGAGAAGGGGAAGAAATTGTGAAAAGAGGGGAGGGGGGATCTCAGTGGGTGGCTCTTTACTCATTTTTCTTTTTCATTCTGTCTTGTGGGTGTGCTTCATGTGACCATGTGTAATTGGCCTGTGGTCACACCAGAGTTGTGCAAACAGATTAGCAAGGAAACATGTCAGCTTGAGGTGAATGTGTGTGTTGTGTGATTCACAGATGTGGGGATAGTGTGGGAAATTGTTTGATGGAGTAAAGCCTGTATTAATAGTGAACAGGTGGGACAGTTGACTTTGTCATTGATAAATTTGCTGTCCTGGACACTTGAGGAATGTGGTAGAGTAGTAGAGGTCTGTTTATGCACCATTACATATGCACTACATGTCCAATGCAAACACTCTTGCATAAACTTGCTCCAATCTTTGCTAGTCTGCTTATATAGCATATGATGTGAAGTTAGGGTTTTGATATGGACCTCAAAACCAAAGTTACACCACAAAAACAACATTCTGAACAAATGTAAAGAGCTGTGGATGCAACAAAGACCTAAAGAGTTCTGGGTCAAGCTCCTTTTCCACCCGTTGCTACCACCGATTTATACCCATGTAATTTGATTTTGTTCCAACCTACTTTCTGCTGGTTGTTAAGCACTTTGATGATTTATTGCAATAAATAATTATAAAAATGCTCAAATCCCACAAATCATCAAAAGGTTCACTGTTAATTTTATTATAATATTTATACCTCTGCCCAGCTACAATTGCAGGTTTTCCTTCAAAACTTCCAAATAAAACTTCCTTTCCAAGAATAAAAAAAAAAAAAAAAAAAAATTGAAAATATCATTTACATTTATACTCTGATTAAAAATTTAGTCCATCGGCTACATTGTGAAAGTAGTGGCTTTAGAAACTTTTTTTCAGGCTAAGATCTGAAATATTCCCAGGTACGATTAGTTCTGGGAAAAAGAAAGACTTCCACAAAGTGAGCATTCCTGGAACTTAACTCTGGAGACAGACAATTAGAGACCAGCAAAGAAAATAACAGCTATAAAGAAATGTCATGGACACACTATACGGGGCCATTCACACTTAAGTTTGACTTGGCTGAGGAAAGTAGGTGTGTAAGCAAATTCAGTTATTGCTTTCTGATGCTCCAACTCTGTGCCAAACCGCCTGCTTTCTGCTGATGACAACCTGACTTATTTGTGTATAAATAAGTCACAATTTAAATGTCTTGGAAATATTGAAATTATTATTTTGATTCTGGGTTACAACTAAAAACAAATGGGATGTCTTGTAGTGTATTCATAAGAGTAAAGTTAAATTACAGTAAAGTAAAAAAAAAATAGAAGGTTATTAACCCTTGATGCATGAGTGACTGACTATACAGTCTTCCGTGAGTGGGTCCTTTTTGACCCGGGTTACAATCAATGTGTCTTTATGCTTCTTTTGTCATTTTGATTCAAAATAATGTTTTGTATAACACTTTTCACTATGTTTTATTTCACACAAGAGTTATTTCATGTTTGAAATATTTTCATTTTTCACATTTTTAAATGTTTTTAGAACAATTTGTAAAACATTTTTAAAACAAAATGACAACAGCAGCAATTTTACAACAACAATTATGAAATGTCAATAATGGACAATGTTAACATCCATTATGTGTGTGTGGGCACTGTGGGGGGGCTGCGAAAGAGCACGTTTCTTGAAACTACCTAGCTAACCAAGCTAGCTAACATTAGTGTCTCTATTCTATTATGCTATGTGTATCACACATGTGAGTGTGTGATCCATCCATCCATCCATCCATCCATCCATCCATCCATCCATCCATCCATCCATCTATCTATCTATCTATCTATCTATCTATCTATCTATCTATCTATCTATCTATCTATCTATCTATCTATCTATCTATCTATCTATCTACCTTCCTTCCTTCCTTCCTTCCTTCCGTCGGGGCGTGGGGTCAGCAGTCTAAGTAAGGAGGCTCAGAGTTTGCTCTCCCCAGCCACTTGTTCCAGCTCCTCTGGGGGAACCCATGGCATTCCCAGACCAGCTGAGAAACATTGTCAGCGTGTCCTAGGTCTTCCCCAGGCCTCCTCCTGGTGGGACGTACCCGGAACACCTCACCAGGGAGGCGTCCAGGAGGCATCCTGACCAGATGCAGAGTCACCTCAACTAGCTCCTCTCGACATGAAGGAGCAGCGGCTCTACTCTGAGTCTCTCCTGGATATCTGACCTTCTCACCCTATCTCTAAGGGAGAGCCCAGACACCCTACAGGGAAAACTAATTTTGGCCGCTTGTATCCGTGACCTCGTTCTTTCGGTCATGACCCAAAGCTCATGACCATAGACGAGGATAGGAACTTAGATCAACCAGTAAATCAAGAACTTTGCTTTTTGGCTCAGCTCTCTCTTCACCACGACAGATCAGTACGGCCGCTTCACTGCAGATGCTGCACCAATCCGCCTGTCGTTCTCCTGCTCCATTTTTCCCTCATTGGTGAACAAGATCCTGAGATACTTGAACTCGTCCACTTGGGGCACTACATCCTCCCCGACCCAAAGAAGGCACTCTATACTTTTCTGGCTCATTTATTTATGCATTTATTTCCATAGCTATGAATTTTTATTTTATTTATTGAGATGATAAAAGAAAGAACCTTGAACACATTGATCAACAGGTTTTGTATGTCATTCAACTCTCTCTCTCTCTTGGTTTTCTCATCCAGGGTGTCAGACACACAAAGAGACACACACACACAAATAATACACATGCACAATAAAGAATAGGTGGTAATGTTAGCTAGTTGGTTAGATAACTAGTGTTAGCTAACTTTGAAGAAGACTAATATGTTGATTTGTGACAATAACGCTGTCACAGTACTCACGATTGACACACAAACACATTTGTGAGATAAAAAAATAAAGATAATACCTAAATGTAAGAATTCTTGCTGTGTAAAATAATATTATTCAGGGGTGACACTTAGGTCTCAGTGTGTTTGGTTCACAAAAAAAATGTTTTCCTTACAGTCACAGTTGGTAAGAAACAAAGATTCCCATTAAATTCCATAGGAAATGAATGCCGGTCATTTTGGACCCACTCACGGAAGAATAGGGTAGTAACATAAAACATGCTATTTCTTAAAATGTATAAAAGGTAAATTAAAAATTTGAACTGCATGATATCAGTAACATGTTTCTTGAGGAATACCTGGAATATGAAGTTATGAAAACTTTTCATTACAAAGATATTGCAAAAAGATGACCTCACCGGGTCAAAAATGACCCACTTACTCATCAGAGGGTTAAAACACAGATGCAAAGAACTGGAATACTGCTAGAAAACCATATTTCATTAAAATCCAGAGACAATTAAGAGATGCTGATTAAGAATTTGCAATATAAAATACAATTTGCGATTATTTCAGCTTTATCTGAATTGATCTTATTGATGCAGCTGAGGTCACATGAAGCACAGCTGAGAGCAGACTCAATAAAAATTGTTTATATACACCCAAAATATACTGCTTATTGTAGAAGTATATAGGATAATTAAAAGAAAAGTCTAACGATTGCTTGTATTTCCTAAAAGACAGAATGGAAGTTCATAAAAAAAGCATTGAATAAAGCAATTTTTACATATAAAGCATGTGATAAAATCTACTCTACTCTTTTCTTATTGTTGTCTGTTATTCCTTAGATTCTGCCAAAGATCTACTTTGACTGACATGTATACATGCAACATTTATACTGCAACATTTATTTTTTTTCACCCCATCTAAAAAAAGAAAGTACAACTGTTGCAACTGGCAGCATCCAATTACAAATGTACTCTTCTTTTTTAGGTTGTCAGGGGTTTGTTTGGTATATGAAAGGTTTGTCACTTAAAATTTGAGTTTTCCTGTGCTTTTCCTCCTGATAAATAGGTTCCAGTTAAGTAAACCTTTATTGATGAGAGCTTGGTTCCACTGGTTTTACATCTTTGGTAGCATTTGAAATACATTCATTTGCATATCAAACATGCTTTTTCTGGGGCAAAACAAGAAATGCAAAGGAATTATTTAATGCAATTTAATCACACTGAGCTGGGATGCACCACATATTATGAGTAGTTCTCAGAAACAGAGATTTAACTCTATACAACTTAATTCATTAGAGGTGAATATGTGTCCAGAACGCTAGAGTTTTATAAAAATAAAAAATAAAAAAAAAAAAGCATACAGAGAGGATTACACAGGCCTGCAGAAATGCGGAGAGAAGACTGGTTGGCAGACTCATAGGAAGAGAATCAGGAGACGAAAGACGACGGGTTTAGGACCCCTTAAAACCTCTTTACAGAGCCATGGTGTCGAGCCAGTTGAAGCACTTCAGTCGTAGTGTGAATTGCTTTTTAATGCCTGCTAACAACCAGGGTATTTTGTGGGATGCTCGCATGGATAAAGTGATATGGGGAGGAACTGAAAAGATGGAAAGAGGGTGAGAGTAGCAGAGTAGCAACAATGTTTGAACAAGAGGTTTCAGCTGACCATACTGCTGGCTCTACATGGCTGCATGACTTAAATACTGTTTGGGTTTATTGCTATCAGTGATTGTATATTTAACATTGTGATTTTTCTTTGACTTCAGCCTCATTTCTCTTGGCTGTCTCTGTGTGTTTTTGCTCAAACTTGTTATTTAGTTCGAGACTGACAAAAAAATCAAATCTGTTATGCTGAAATCACAGCAGCAATTATCTTTATTGTTCTTCTATCCATACGTGACTGTCCAGCTGGCTACTGATGATACGCTCTCTTAATTTTCAATAATTTGCTGGTAAAAATCTTCATCCAACAAAAGTAAAATGCAAGATCCAATATCAATAGCAGTTCTAACAAATTTGAACAGCATTACTGTAGTGGTTAGAAGAGACATTTACTGTTTTTTATCTTGATGTGAACCTAACTCCTGTTTGATCAGTTCTTGGCCCTCTATGACACTTTTTCCTACAACAAATCAAAGTATAAAAGAGAAAGTGTTGCTCTAGTTTTCAAACACAATTTTCTTCATTTACTAAATAAAATGTCAAGATTAGATTCTGGGAAAATAAGTATGGATCAAATTATAAGCAGCTATGTCAATTAAACAATGTCACAACCAAACCTATCAAACTGCAGGGAACTGTGCAACCAATCCCGCCGCCATTTTGATTCGCTGCAATAGTGAAGGTAAATCTTCTGAATGTTTTCAGTTCAGCTTAAAAGGAAGCAGAAACATATAAAATATGTTCAACAAAAATTTACTGGGTTTGAATCACAAATTCCCATGTTAACTGAATACAAAAACCAAAAATAACATTTCTATGTAATAAAAACTAAATGTAGGAAAATCTAGAAAACATTATCATAAAACAGATGAAATTCCTAAGAAACATCAGACAAAGTAGGCTAAATTATGAAAATGAATACAAAACAACAGCTCAGACTATAAATATACTGTTAAAACTATGATGATCTGTAGTTTAGATGAAACCGGGATGGGTTTCTTGAAATTGAAATTACCGCAAAGAAAGAACATATTTCTGGGAGTCCGGTGGCTTTCTTCTCAAATGCATGCATAGACATTAAGTGCTCAATAATGGAGTGATGAACACACACTCAGAATGAATTTCACAAGTTTTCACAGCATAGGAAAGATTTTTTGTGAATCTTCCTCACACTGGTTTGGGACTGGATTGTTCAACAATCCAACTATTGTTCGGAAAAAAAACCCAAAAACAAACAAAAAAAAAACAGAGGAGACGGGGTACAAAAATGACTGGAGGACCCAGAAGGGTTAAAAAAGCAGATAGAAAAACTGATAAATCATAAAACAATAAAGCGAGGATGCCTGTAGTTTTTCCAGATTCAGATGACTCTATTTATTTTATTTTTTTTTTTTTATTTTACTTCTTTGTTTATCTTTTAAAGACCTTTTACACAAACATTCCTGAAGCTTTTACTTTCTGCATGAATTGCGACCAGTAGGTAGAACTATTTGGAATTTACTAACGCTGTCACTTTGTAAGTTGATATGAGCCATTCTAAGTGCTTGGCAAGGAAATGGCTTCTTGCATATCATGACATTTTGGTTAGACTACACCACTCCAAGGAATTGATCATAACGTGGAATTTTGTAATGACATCTTTCCTGTTGCATGCTTGTTACCCGACACAGCACAAGAGACTTTAACTTAAATTCACCCCCAAACCTTGTGGGAACTAAGGCTCTTCTACACATGCAGTGATAAATTAAATTATGAGAATTCCAATTTAGTTTGTAATGATATATGGAGATATCAAACCAGGATAAGTCTATCTCACAAAACACTACACAGTTGCTGTTTTAGTTCAAGACACGATAATTATGGCGAACTGATGCTGTATGTTTTACATTTTAAACTATGTAAGTTATGTGTTGAGGTAGGCTTGAAAGTTATTGGTTGTTGAATGATAATTGCATGAAAAGGTCAATAAGACCTGTAGGTTGACTGGCCGACACTCAGCTACATAGGTACTTATGTAGTCCATTACTTTTAAGCAGTTTTCTGGCAGTGTTTTTGTTACTGCATTGCTTCACGGATCAAACCATTTTTAGTTACAATACTCATAAAATTTACTGAAACCAGAAAAACACCCCGATTTTAATGCATTACATCGCCATGTAAACGTCAGACATAGTTATCAAATTACTTTGTGTCCTTTATTTTGTATAAAAGACATTTCTTGAAATGGTGCCATGTTGTGATGTAGAACCATTAGAAAGGGCATAAATATATTTTTGTAAATGCTCAATTTTAAAATGGGATAAGGACGGCCATATCCTACTTAAAGTCGTACTAAGGTATCAATACATTGTATTTTGCCTGAATACAGTTGTGTGGAGTACACACACCAGTGGCCAGTGAGTTCTTGTGTGAAACCTTTGTTGTATTTCTGGAAAGAAGAAAAAGAAATCTTCTCAATTTTTTTTTTCAAAAATCTTGTAGTTCTCATGAGCTGATTGATTGCTACGCCTCTGGTGTTCAAGAATTTTTGACCTGTCCGCCTCAGAGTCAACCTGTGGTGTTTTTGAATTACGGATATGACGGCACATTGGATAGGAGGAATTTGGTTTCTAATAAAAATAATAACTCGGAGTATTAG